CCCCTGCCCACGCCCCATCCCCGCCGAGCTGCCACGCCTGGCCTGTCCCGGGGTCTGGACCTGGCGTGTGTGGCTGCTGAGAGGGGGGCGGCAGGGCAGGGCATCACCTGGCTGCCAGGCGAGGGGGCTGCGCGAGGGCTGGGCAGGGGTGTTTGCCGTCCTTCGGCCCAGACCCTCGTTCAGTGTTAGGAGCGACTCCCCTCCTTTCCCCCCAGCTTAGCAGAGACGTGGCTGCAGCCCTGGTGGCCCTGGGCCGTTAGCCAGCAGCGGGGCCCGGCTGGGTCATTACCGAGTCGGGTCATTTATTTGCAAAAAACAGGCCCAAAGTCCAGCTTCCCTGAACAGAAAGAAAGCACCAGCCAGCAGTTCCTGAGGCCTGCTCTCCCCTCCGGGCCGTGTGCCCCTAGCTCTGCCCTCTCCGGGCCATGACTTCGCCCTGCCTGCTGACACCTCTGCTCTAGAACGGCTCCCACACCAGCCCCTGCATCTGCCATCAGGGAGCTCCCCCGCCCACACCGCTTACCTTCTGCCTCTGCCTTGGGCAGTGGCTTCTGCGCTGTCCATTATAACGCTATATAAGGGTGCTTAGTTGCTCCTTCCCTTGAGCCTGCAAGAAGGCTGCTTTAACCAGGCGAGGGACTGCTTGCAGATCCAAGACCCGCTTGAGGGCAGCCATTAGCCCCAGTGAGCTTGGCATGTGGGTCCTGACACTGTCTTTGACCCGCCTGGAACAGAACCACAGAGCTTCCTCACCGTGGCTTGAGGCAGCAGGTGCTGGTGTTGTCTCCAGCTGTGATGGACGAGGGAGATCCGTGCATGCCTGGCTCCTAGGGGAACAGCCGCCCTCCCCTCCGAGACCCGCTTGAGGGCAGCCATTAGCCCCAGTGAGCTTGGCATGTGGGTCCTGACACTGTCTTTGACCCGCCTGGAACAGAACCACAGAGCTTCCTCACCGTGGCTTGAGGCAGCAGGTGCTGGTGTTGTCTCCAGCTGTGATGGACGAGGGAGATCCGTGCATGCCTGGCTCCTAGGGGAACAGCCGCCCTCCCCTCCGCTCCCCCACCTAATTCTCTGCTTCTTGCAGGAGGACTTGATCTACACCATTGGGGAAAGTGCTGCGCAAGGTGCCTCGGGGATTGTGCCAGAACTACAGTCACACCCGGGTGCGTTGGGAGCGGGAGGGGGAGTGCTGGCCGGGGCGTGGCTGGGGAGATGTGGGCGGGGCTCGCGTGGTGTGTGGCTGGGGGACTGGGGGGCAGAGAAGGAAATAAAACCCGAGGGGGATTGGTGGGGCAGCCAGAACTACAGTCACACCCGGGTGCGTTGGGAGCGGGAGGGGGAGTGCTGGCCGGGGCGTGCGTGGGGAGATGTGGCCAGGAGTTGGGGCT